AGAACATTTTTGATTGACAGGGCGGCCGAATTCGAAGACTTTGCTATCAGGATGTCCCGATTTTTTCCGAAATAAAGAAAAGATTCCTCCGGGTCATCATCATGACCTTGGGGCTATATTGTGGAAATATTTATACCTTGGCTAAATGGGTTTCTTTAATATAAGAAATATAATTTGCGCAACACCCATAACTATTTTATATGTGGAGGAATTCGAATTTCTCAAATCGGTTTTCATGGACTTATGTTTGTCTGTTACGATGACAAGCGCATTCTACATCATTGTATTTTACAATTTCAACTTGCGCACACATCTCTGCCTACAATTATGCTGACATATTGGTGTTAGGTTGAGTGAACTGCATAGAATATAGTTTTTAACAATTGGGAAAATCTGGAACAAACTGGAGTCGAATGCATAATAAATCGTCTTAATCAGTTTACTCCAATACATGGTGCATTCCAGTCACTGACGACCACGGTTGGGGTTAGTAACTTATCTTTATCTTTAACAAGGGGAAAGGTTTTCGAATAAATTCAGATCTCGTTTGACGGGCAGTACACTAAGGAATCCGACATTGAAAATTTACGATCCAGAAACCTTCGTCATCAGTGCCGCAAAATGAGCTTTATCAAAAATACCATGCACATTAACCCAAAAAACAGTTCTGAATATTTATTTTTTCCAACTCATCTTGCTGAAAGAATATTTACTTCTTTCACCGCATAAATAGATTTCTTTGGAAAACTAGGTAAACAGATCACATGCACAATATCTAAATGACACGGCGTTTGTTCATGTGGTGAAGTTAGTCATGTATGGAGCAATTGAAACATGAACCAAAAACCTGGTATTCAGGACTTTGTGATATGTACCAGTATCACTGAAATCAAACAGAAGCATTGCGAATTAATAGAACAATTAGACGAATGATGCAATGTTCTAAAGAAATAACCCCGGGGAAGGACAAAGAGACGAGAAGGCAACATATAACCCAATTTTTTTCTCCCTGAAGTAAGGTACAATATACATGAAAAGTATTATGTAACTTCACTCGTTATCTTGCACGATGTTGTATTTTCGGTCAAATTCATTGGATATACGTTTAAACGGATATCGAACAAAATCCCACGACAACGTTGTCTTCAGCAGATCTTTGATTGTCAAATTTTAGAGTTTTGAGGCTCATTCACTCGGTTGAATATCGTTTTACCCCATTAGAGACACAACATATAAATAATAGCATGTACTCACACTGATGCTCATGTTGATCGATTACCTCCTAGAACGATGATTTATTCAGTTCAAATACAGTGGTTGACGCATCAGTTATGATAATCAAGCCTCTGTATAAAACGTCGCAATTATGTATTCGAGGGTCCATTCATTACTAACTACGTAGAACGGAATGTGTACCCTAAACAGTACTGAAAATTTTTAGGTACAAATAGAATTTATCCGAACTCCCAAACCTTGTGAATAATTTCTCGATAAAACTGACTTATGGGCATGACACAGGTTTTCATTTGTCAATATTTTTGTGTTCTATAATTCTTTAGAGTACTTTGGTTAGTCGTTAAAATAAACGATTCATTCCACCCCTGCTGTCGTTCAAATGAGTCATTTGCAGCTTATTTATGTTGACTGAATATGACTATGGTCTCACTTTCCTCCGTAGTGCTGTCTTACGGGAGAAAGTCCTCTCCTTTTGTGATAAATTTCGCCTCTGTTTACATCGAACACCTGCACAAGTCGGGAACTTTGATTTGAGCAGCCCCTGTTACATTGTCTCTCTGACTCATTAGCATCTTAAATACTCTTAGATCTTTCATCGGGTTAGGATATGACGATATTAAAAACACTATTCATCGAGCGGCACACCTCAAGATCAACCAGAGAAGGTCAATGTTCAAGTTTCTTGGAATATATTTTTACTCCCCTTCTGAAAGGTGATGATAGGTAAGCAGATTATANTATTAATGATATCTAATGATTATTCACCAGTATATTTACGGAATACTTCATGTAAAAATATATGCTGTTTAGAATGGTTGGATTGATCAGAATGATCCTGACCTTTTGATTGCTCTTTAAAACGAATGAACCTCCGTGCTTTTTGGCACCAAATACTTTCCAATTATAAGCGACATCTTGTGATCTACAACAAATTTGCCCGTAACACTCAGGGTCACGTCAAGTCAACTAATTAAACAAGTGAATGAATCAAAGTGCCACTAATTACCCATGGCTATCTCTTTAGCATGTAAGACATCGCAAACTCAAATATATTTCTTAACCGAGGGTTCTACCAAACAAGTTCGATCAATAAGTAACTGAAAAATACTTACTAAAACATTTAAGTTGTTTCATCATTAAAAATTTATGGATATCAATGCCGAACCATCGTTTCAGCCATCAGGACATTGGCAATCTACCACTTACAGCAAACCCACACCCTTCATTGTCATATATTCTGTGGAGCGTTTTACTCACGTCATATATCACACTGCCAGGAAGTAGGTTAAACAGAATACAAGATGTCTAATATCTTTAATCGATGGTGAACCACTGTCTGGCGTTTTTTGCACAGGTACTTAATTTTTCACTAGAAATCCAAACTATTCCAGAGTGCTGTCCCCTAGTGAGAATTACACCTAACCCCACAGATATGACAAATGGTCCAGTTGCGAAAAGTTTCAGCCCAATTTCCCCAACTTCCCCTGGTTTGAAATTAATGAAACGGTTGGATCTACATCGCCTTCGGTCATAACTCACCACACCCGAATATATTTATTAGTTCGCATTTAAAAACATAAATTCTATATACTCATTACCATTTCTTCACTGGTTCACTTTACATGCAAGTCCCTAAACGAAGATAAGAAATATGTACATTGTACATATCTTGATCATTCTTCCATTTTGACTCAGTGAGTCGTTCGCTTTCAGTTGGCAAGCTCCAGTCATTTGGTTGTTCCACTTATCTTAAACGGCTTACTTCCGTAAATACATCAGTATGCTCAATTGGAAAGAGGACAGTCAGCGGCATTACTCGATAGTTCGAATGTACCTCAAGATGCTGTCTCATCGCCGTATCTTCTTGCGACTTATATAATTTATATATCATTAAAATATGTCTTCCGTATGCTGAAGATATCGCCATCTCTGTTCTTGTATATAATCAGTCAGGACTGGCTGTAGATAGCATAAACGTATCTCCCCTCGTTATGTATTCCACTTTATCTATTCTTAATAATCTATTCCACATCAAAGTACGCTTGGTGTCTCACTCCCTCATCCTTTTTGCCAGTTTTGTGACGGTGGTCTCTTTTTGGTTGAAAGCATGTATATAGCTCGAGACACTTCAAATATAATTCATTACAATCCCTGGGTATTCAGATAGATTAATATGATTCAGGCTGCGAGGTCCATTCTGAACTACTTGATATTTACTCATCAATTGAGTCTCTGCCCCACCGTACACAAATTAGAAATATTATCATCGATGTGTCTGCATGGCTTTATTCGTCAGGGTCGTTAAATGATTCGGTAATCCACTTGAACAAAATGAATTCTTTGTTTTTTTACCGATAATTGTTCTTCTCCAGCACATTCTGAACACATACACTGGTTTTTTAGCCTTTCCCGAACCATGGCAACTGTGAATGACGGTGTACGGTTGAACTATTATCATTTGAATCTCCCTGTAGTGTGTGCGCGTTTGTGTCTATGTGTTAAGCTTTCGGCAAGTGGCTCAGTTTAAGCTGCTACCAACCAGCCAGCGATTTGCTTTTTGTCACTGGTCTCAGGTTCCTCATGCACGCTAGGCATTTTGGCCGCTTTAATTACTTCGACTTCCAATGGTGCACTGTTACCACGTACTTAATATGACAAACGGTTAGCATTCCTGCTGCCAGTGATTTGTCTCCTCTACGATTATGCTATTTTTTAGCATTGCGACTCCTTGGTAGGCTATTTCGTTCAAAGTGACTTACATTAATTAAATTAACTTATTTCACATCCGAACAGATAGAAGTGAAAGTCATCTCCCTTAAAATAATTCTGCTTCGACTTCGATTGAGCAAACCGTGGCGCTCGTACATTTCTAATCATCACTCTTGCACCAGCCCCCCCCCCACTCTAAATCAATTATCTATATTTTCTTTGACTCTACTTTCAACATCTCAATCTAACTTACGAATTTTTATCCAATTGATCAGCCTAACGGTAGCTGCAAAAACTGTCACATGAAGGTGTATGGCTAATAGTTGAAAAAACGGAAATTGAAACTGGATTCAACAAAAAGGATTTCAGGACCAATCTTGTCATAACTAAGGGAAATTTTCCCGATATTCGTCCTGCATCATTGCAGATTGATGCTCCGAGGCGTTATGCTATTGCTCAATGTTGTTGGTGGTGTTTTGTTGGTTTGTTGTTCTTTTTGTTGTAGTTGGTGGCGGTGATGGTATATTGTAGAATTCATCTATTAATTATAGTGTCACTGAATGTTTCTCCTAGAGAATAAACATCAGAATTTCATTCTTAACTCAGCTCTTGTTCGAGAAAACACATTTATTTTATTGTGTGCCTGCGGGTGAGAATCGTTGGTCTAGATACAAGACAGACAGTAGTTTGATATTTCAGAGGTTGACACTTTTGTTCTGGACTACTAAGATGAATGATACAATGGAAGAATACCTCGAGATGCTGTGAGAACAGCATTAGAAATAAATACAAAACATACCGCACCGGTACGATAATAACAACAACCAAACTTGGCTTTATCCTACCATTGGCAATTTACTGAATTATTAGGTAAAAGATTCATTTGTAACAATTATTACATCATCTTTTTCCATAGCGTGAAAATGAAAAGAGCCCATGGGATGAAGTACAATGACTAAGAGACAAATGTTGCCTTGAATCAAGGAGATAAGGGCATTACGTAACACTATCCAGCTATGAACGAGAATCATTATGTTCAAAGTTTGCAGAAATATTCAAACGGAATTGACATTCTTCCGCACATATTTCGAGCATAAACGGTGAATCGGTTCGATGATGCAAGCCGTTTTCCGACTTAGTAACTGACGACAAGCGGGCGAAGTGAATATGACCGCCAGGGGATTGACGGAAAAGTTGATAGAAAACAGTAGTATTCCGTCGTACTGCCATAGTTTCAAAATTCGGATTCGGATCACACCAAAGGTGGCAAGTAAACTCTCAAAGTGTACATATGTTCTGCTCACAATATAGGTCACAATCATGATAAAAATTCCCAATGTGATTGTACGCACATTTGGATCGATTGCACCGTTACTGTCCTGCGCTAAGGGATCACTTGTTGAACTTTTCTCCGCTCGGACGTGCACTTTTCCCCGTAACAACAGTATAATTCTGACTTGAATCACACAGATCAACACTCCGGGTAGAATATAAGCAAAAATAAAAATGATCACCTGATACGCCATCATGCATGCTCTGAGTTTCGGACTGGTTGCCGTTGTCGGGTTCCCGTAATAGTATGAAAAGATAATTGGCGGTGCACTGAAGACGATAGTGTAGGCCCAAATAATGATTATCAATGAAATCAGGTAGCCCTTACAGTTGCGCCGATAGCTACGGAACCAAACCACGGCCCAGTATCGATCAAACGATAGCATCGCGAGATTTGTGGAGCTGAGAACCACTGTGAACCAGAACACAAAATAATTACTCCATAAATAGGAGAAAGCAGTGGCCATTAATAGAGTTGGCGGGATTTTCAAACCGAATGTGATCCAGTATGCCATAGCCACGGTGCAGCCTATCGCATCGCAGACAAACTGATGACGAAGCAGAAGTCGAGCTGCTGGCAGGGATATTTTAACTTGGGATATCAAGCTGAACCCGACCACATTTGCCAATAGACCAACCACATTGACTGACCACAATGTTACACTTTTCAAAATGGACAGTTCTCGAACCTCGTACAATATTTCAGTTTGATTCATGTGAAAACAGTGAATGAAAGAACTCGAGTTTGCAAACTCCTGCTTTCCAAATAGAGTTTGTGAACGAATGGATTCGTATTTCCATCACTCGGCCCGGCCAAGTTTTGTGAACGTGTATTGGCCATATTGAACAAACCAATGGGAGCGAGGAAAAGCACTGCAGTGCACAAAGTGTTCCTGCTATTGAAAGCATGTGCATCATTGTTCTTTCCATCATTATATAGCCATCCCTTGTTGATTTCCCTTAATCTGTCCACATTGAATAAATGACTTTGTTATTCTTCACTAAGGCTTGACAATTCTCGAAATTATTCATCTTTCTAATGTGAATTCAATGAGCACATTAGTGAGGCTATGACCCATGCGCTTTTCAACTACTCCAGCATTTAGTTCAATCCAGATTTAACCACCGGTCACCTTGGTAACAAAACCATGAATATTTAACATATTTCAAAAGCATTCCATTCGACGTGCATTCCAGCAGTTAGAAGTAATTTTTGCAACTTCGCCTTAATGATTGTATTTAACATCTTATATTATTGGCACACAATACAGTACAGTCGGAATGGATAAATATTTTCGTTTAGCGGATCCCAAAAGATAAGGGAAAATAGTTTTGTAAATTGGAGAAGCATCAAATAGCAAAAATCATAAGTTTTCCAATAATTTATTCCAGCTCAAAATTCACCTAATCATCTGCTGCATCTTGTGTTTGAGATAATCATCATTATCAGTGATATAAATCCGAATGTTCTGTTTTTTGAACGCGGAAGCAGTCAGTGAGCTATAATTATCTGATCTACTGAAGCGCCACGTCAACAACTTGTGTATAATACCCTCTCGATACCCTCTGGATATATTCTGATGTGTAGCAAATCATCAAGCAGTGATCTGATTCCCGTTAAATGACTTCTAGTTACAGTCATGCTACCACTTAGCGGAAATATACATCAACAGAGCTAGAGTTATCGATAATAAGCCCCGTTTTGTTTGCTATCCAGGAAAGTTCTATTCATTGACTTGTTGGATTCACATTTATACGTGTTATGGTGCCAACCACAGTGAACAGGGCGAATGCCCATGACGATACATGACACGACAGGACAGATTAATTTCACACACTTCTGTATCAACTTAATCAGAGCAATATTGAAGTACCTCGATGTAAAAGCAGAGTGGATACAGGAAGTGCCTGTTGTATTTGATGATACAAACACAAAAATGGTGGTGTCTTCCAAAGGATCAGCCCGAACTGGACGCACGAACCATGATAGTCTTGAGCCTATATCGTGCGAAAAGGAAAAGGAACATGGTGGCCGAGTGGGTAGCATGCTTGCGTTCTGCCCGTGAGGTCCCGGTTCGATCCCCAGTTGGGTCGATGGATTCGAAACAGCTGTCTAGTGCTTCCTAGCTTTTCAGGTCACGCTTCGTTTGCTATATACACGACGAATTTCACCTTTGATATTGAATTAAATTCTCCATCACTCACATGAAAGTACAATGCTTGTATCATGCTCATGCTTCATCTTGATAAATAATTTCGACTTATGCTTCTTATCGAGGCTTCTTTACTTTACATCTGATTCATCAGCAACCGTCGCCGAAATCGATCAATCTCACACTTGTTTAGGTTTTCAACAACTAGCAGAAACAGGTACATATTAGTATAGATATGTTACGTCTGATGTGAATGCGACTCGAAACACCACGTGTTGGCAGGAACAAATATGATGAAAGTCAGGGTGTTGCTCTAGTCTGATCAAGATCAGAGAAGGCAATCGCAAGAGGGAGTGAGATCGCACGAGTTTAGTAAACTAACAAAGAAATGCGGTTAATCGTCGTGACTGGGAAGCGCCTGTCTGGGAAAATAGGTTGGGTGATAAACAATATGTCTGGGTTCAGATCATGACAAGTGATAGATAGATAACTGAATACATTTGTGAAAGGCAGTTTGTAGGGTGGTGAACAGATTCAATGATAATGATATGTGGAATGACAAATCATATGTGAATGTTTTTTCTGGGTTTGATAAATCGATTAGTAGGCGACGTCAGGTTACAAACTTTTACAATGCGGCACCAACAAGACTGTTCACGTAAAATTTTGAGGTTTCAATGACTATTTAGTTGCTTTCACCTGTTCACTGCTGGGGCCAGTCGAATGCAGATCAAACCATTTGATTACGTCATATAGTGAAAATTCTTTGTGATTAATTGATCTATGGGGTCTCGACACTCGATAGCCAGTACATTCACTTTTCGAGATGTTACTAGTCACGCAACCCATCAGCTTGAGGCAATTAACAGACAAAAGGAAAACAGAGCATAAAAATGGACTGATTGGCAGGCGTTAAGGTTCTTACAGGTTTCCAATGAAATGTCTCATAATCACCTGTCTTGCGTAGGATTTTACGCCACTTTAAACCTGTAAAACATGTTAACAAATATGGAACAGAAACCGACGTATATCATCTTGAATTTTTTATATTCGTGCATGGGTAATGCTTGGACTATGATATCTGTTTGGCAGCCAAAGACGTAAGAAGATGCTAAACGAGAAGTGCACAAGAACACTGAGAATAAAAAGCAGTAGAAGAAGGAAGTTTATTCAAATCTCCCTTTGGGAAAAGACGTCAACGACACTTATCATCCTATGAGGTTTAATATATTCTGTTGGAACGTTTTTCCTCTACCTGTCGTCAAATGATGTCATGTTATAAGTTGTCTTTTGACCCCGTAACTCATCTTAATTTTATTTTTAAATGGTTTTATATTTCAACGTACATCCTCTCCAGTTCCACCAGTCGTTTCTTGATAGAAATTGAATTTATTTTTTTATGCCAGACCACTCATTATATCTGCCGTACCGCCCAGGAAGTTCCATCTGTTGCAGAGAATAGCAGGGAAGTTTTGCGTAATTATATGTGCAACAGGCCTAACTGTGACACCCCACTGATAAAAAGCATCACTTTTTTCACAATTTCTTACCGACAGGATGTTAACAGCTAGCATCATCTGAAATCTTTGCTTTTTCTAGGTCAAAACAAACAGAAATTAAAGGATATGAAGGCATAACAATATGAATGTGTAGGTGACCTATTCTTGTCAAATAAAGATTTGCTGACTCTTAGTTACTGCATTCTCCTCCAAGGAGATGTGGTTCCATGCACTTGAGGTGCCAAAATATGATTACTTCGTTTGACAAAAATTCCAGTCACTGTAGGGTTTGTAAAATGCGCTTCAAGTTAGAACGAAATTACCACTCCTCTCCTGTCTCCGAAGGTAAAAGCAAAAATGACAAGCACGTCACTCGGATATGCAGTAGGATGGAACACCAATACCTAAAATTAAATGAATCCGGTCTACGAAAGTCGGTTTCCAGTTTCTAGATTGGGTTTATATGCCAGGTTGCAAAGATTTTAATGGGTTCATGAGTTATGTTTGAATGAATTTTTGCGTTACATTTCTGATGAACGATATGCTTTCCGTTAACCATCACTAACTAGCTGCAGCTGGTTCTCATTTCATCAACCTGATTTCTAAATCTTGATCCCAGATTTGGTGGTCATTAAACTCTTTACGTGCATTCAGTGCTTAAGCAAATCAATGAGTAAATTCAGGCAGTCCGATTCAACTTTTACTCAAATCTTTCAAAAGAATCAAGGATCGATGACTCAATTCAAACCTTTTCATCCAATCATGGAATATTTATAGTCGGAATTATTTATTAGATTATTTGGACAACATGATCTCTACAGAAGTGCGCAGTGTCTCTGGTTAGCCACCGAGACTCGATTAGGGGGTTTTCGGTTTGTGATCTGATCGCGGCATCACTCGTGTACACAGAAAAGAGCATTACATCGAACGTAATAGAATAAATGATAAATTCGATGCGAGGTTACAAGCTATCGTTTGTGTGGTGGGTCTCATTGGTTGACAGTCTATTTACTCGTTACTTTGCTCGTATGAAATGAACTCAATCAAAAGTGGATAACCTTGTCAGTGAAATGTAATTCAACAACCAGTGATGAAGACTTATTTCCCGGTCAGCTGTCGATATATATTTCCTGAGAACAATAGGATATTATTCACCTTAAACCAAAGGGAACCAAATCCATGATATTCAACACAACCAGGGAACCCGCGTACACAACACTTTAACGCAATCGCCCACTACACCCTTTGCAAGTCACGTTGTCCCAATGTCATATCAAGATAACCTCGGATTATTTCAAGATGTCCGGGAATCATTTCAAGTTGGCTGACCATTATTTCACGATATCTGGCTATTATTTCAAATTTTCTCAGTATTAGTTCAAGCTGTCCCGTTGAACTCATCAGTACTGACAAGCCTCCCAGCGATGTCGAGATGACTACCACGCCACATCGGTTTCTCTATCTGCCGTTGAAGTGCGGGGGACGATTGTGAGACGGGCTTTGATCACACGCGCCTCAATTCTCATGGCATACATATCGGTTGTTTATCGTGCTAGTATGCGTATGCCTCTGTGTGTGTATCCCCCTTCGCTGATATCAGTGAGTTGAAAAGAAATGTCTTCGCATTTTAACTTTGTTTTTATGCATCGCTGGGATTATTTTACGATTCTTTTCGGTATATCGCTTCAGGCATTTACATATATAGTTCGATTATTCAACAGAATAATGCAAGGGTTAGGCTGAAGTTGAAATAATGTCTATGCAAAATGTTCAGTAGATAACAAGCTATCGAGTCACGATAATCGAATAGGGAAAACACGAACAAAAATGTAAGATGAAAGATGTTAGTCAAGAATGAATTAAACAGGTGTGAGCGTGTGCGAAAACAAAGAGACTGTAAATAAAGAGTGAGGATTCTCACTGTGGTGAAGTAATATTTGGTAGCTGGATTCAGTGAACCATTCATCATTATCGAGCACTTCTAGCTATTTACGGGCAGTAGCCATAAGTTAAAGCTTGTTTAATTTTTTTCTGACGGCCTGCATGCCTATCCAATAATCGATG